TAACGGTTAATTAGGTGTTGGGCCTGAGCCCAATACCTATTGTTATTGTAAGAATTTACTATTTTTTTTTTTTTTTTTTTTTATTTCTCCAAGACACATTCGTTTCCAGAACCGTTTGTCAAAATGAAAACACATATGAACTTCAATTGTCAATACATGAATGCACAACCCACTGAAGATGTGCTTTTTTGCAATTACGTCATTATGACGTCATCATGGGTCACGTGACGTCACTTCAAGAAATAATACATTTAATCTTCAGAATTCAATACAAAATCAACCGTGAGAGACCGGAACTTTAATTTTGCGGGAACCGACATGATAATACATGCTCTTCAATTAATCTTGTGTGCGTAAAAACACATGACCCTTCCTTCCGGTTGAAACCGGAAGTGCCTAATAATTCAAAAGTGGAAAAAGACATGAACTTGCTTTTAACGATGTTAACCTGTGGGTGGGTTGATCTTTCCAAAAAAAATGATCGGTGACGCCATCAAGTGTTCGAGCGCCCTCTAGCGGCAGGTTAAAACATTTTCAGTTGATGTCTGTGGCGAAATTTGCGGTAATCGCTTCAAAATTAATATACATAATGACCTTAATGCAGAAAAGACCTGTGCGCGAAAAAAAAATGATTACGTCATCAGACCGGAAGTTACAATGAAAATACCTCTTTTCCTTTGAAAATTGCTAAAAAATCAACTGTCAGAGATATAATCCAGTTTTGTGCTTTAAATGGCACTTTAATAATAGGTCTAAAACTTCCCAAGGTTTCGTTACAATAAATTTACTAGAAGATGCCCTGCAGCCCCCTTGAAGTTTGAAGTTGAACACGCCTACGCATTGAAACGCTCATTTAATGCCACGTACATTGTGTGTACAGCAAATTGGGATAATTGCGTACAAAGGGAAAATCCCGAAAAACAGTGTGCTGCGATTGCGTAAAAGGGAACTTCCCCTCATATGATACTCAAACATTGGTCTGGCAAAAGCGCCCAATTGGGCGCTTTTTCAAATTGGGCGCCTTTTCTAAAAACATGCGCATTGGGGTTAAGAGGGTATGGCGAGCAATATCTTGAATTGCGCCAATGATGTGCGATTTTTACTGTTAGAGATATGAGCTATTTAATGGGTTTTTGTAACAATTGTACTAGATAAGTTTACAGTACAGCAGCATACACGCGTGCACATCCTCACCTGACTCTTTTTAACTATCCTCTGTATAATTACTCCACGCGCTATTTTTCAACCTCAACCCTCAACATCAACATCAACATCAACAATCAACAATCAACATTAACATAAACAATCAACATCAACAATCAACATCAACAATCAACAGCAACATCAACAAACAACATCAACAATCAACATCAACAATCAACATCAACAACCAACATTAACAATCAACATTTACAACAACATCAACAATCAACATCAACAATCAACAGCCACAATCAACAATCATTATTAACATCAACAATCAACAATCAACATCAACATCAACATCAACAATCAACATCAACAATCAACAACAAAAAATCAAAATCAACGTCGACAACCAACACCAACAATCATCAACAATCAACATCAATATCGTTAATCAACAACACCAATCAATTATCAACAATCGACATGAACAACCACCGTCAAATTCAATCGACAATCAACATCTATATTATCAATCAACAATCAACATAAACATAACCAACCATCAACATCAACAATCAACATTAACAATCATCAACAACAATCAACAATCAACAATGTGAAAAAGCCAAACCTCTAGCCCAACACCGTGTGTTTGTCCTCAAACTCTAGTTTTATATTGAATTTCAAAGATTAAATTAATTAATTTTCCAAGTGACGTCATGTGACCCATGATGACGTCATAATGACGTAATTACATAAAAGCACATCATCAGTGGGTTGTACATTTATGTATTGACAATTGAAGTTCATATATGTTTTCAGTTTGACAGACAGTTCTGGAAACGAATGTGTCTTGGAGAATAAAAACAAGAACATTGAAACCCATACAATAACAACAGGTTTTGGGCTAATGCCCAACACCTAATAACAACAAAAGTAAATTCATGCAGTAACAATAGGCTGAGGCCCAACACCTAATTATGTTGTAAAACCATGTCAATCAAACACAGGACGTTATGTTGGGTATTCTGTCTGCACTGTACATGGGTCTTGCTACTATTTTAGTTTGAATGACAATTTCTTTACCAATCAAAACAATTATTTCTGTGCACATTTATATCCTAAATGTGTTTATTCCATTGAAACTGTAATGAAAAGTTTTCACTGTAGTTTGAGTGTTTTTGTTATTTTTAAATACATTTGCTATTTTCCACCACTAGGAGTGTAATAATGCTGCTGAAACTATCAAATATAAACCCAGCATGCCTGAAAAAATAGATATTGATACCAGTATCATCCAAATCGACCAAATCGAAAAATAGTTCTGGCAGCAATCTTGAAAAATGGCCGCCATCTTGGATTTTCAAGTGGCAAATCCGGCAGATTTGTGAAGTATACCCTAGAGAATCATTGTGCCGAATTTGGTGCTTGTATTGATATCTCCATTTGCACGATTTTTCTGTTATCTGCTCCACTCGTGCTGATGAACTTTACTGGCTATCAGTAAAGTACAAAATTTGTGAGCGGTGTTTGCCAACTACTTCAATGAATTAATCTTGTTACAAGATCTATTTCCTGTACAACCCACTCGCCAGTCTGGAGATACGATGCGGTTGCACTGACCATGTATGGTGACAGAGCCTTCTCAGCGCTTGCCCCACAAGAGTGGAACAGTCTTAATTTACTACCTTTAGAACGATTGAGTCTGTCAGCAAACATACATTTTTAAGCATTCTTTTTTTATTTAATTGCCCGCATCTTCACGAACCTTGTTTTTAATGGTATCTTGTATATACATTTGTATAATGGTATTTTTGGTGTTAAAATCTTTATAATATTATATAGCTTTTCCCTGCTATTTTGAAACGTTTATACATTGGAATTATAATTCTTCCATATACATTCTTACTGCCACACAATTTAATCCTCATTTTGTTCAATTTCGTCGTACTTCATTGTGATATCTTACGTAGAAGATAATAATATTATAAGACACGAAGAATTGATTCTCAACTTTTTCTTCCCTTTTGTTTCTACATACATTTATTATTAGTCCGAGAGCCCAGTGAGGTTTAATTAGAATATCGCGCACAAAAGGTTTGATGGTGGCAGCGAGTAGGTGGGTGTGTCCAACCTTCGAAACCGTCATTAAGTGTCACACCCCGTGGGTTTGGGAGGGGGCACCGCCTAAAGACCCCCCAAAAGTGACTTTTAATTAGAATGTCGCGCACAAGCACGTCTCCAATGCGAAAAGAAGGTATTTGATTAACTTATCAATGAGCAATAACTTAACAATGAGAAATCCCATGCATTCCATGCTTAAGAATGGCTTAATTAGTGCTAATTATTCACCTTTAATTAGAATTTTGAGCACAAGAGCGAAACCTTCACTAAAAGCTAATTAACGTGACCAAAATGCAAGATCACAATTTAAGAATGGATTTTGCTGTGCATTTTGTGCTTAAGAACGAGTTAAAGTTATTAAAGCCGCCCGCTAAGGAATTATTTTTTTATGTGTTTAATTAGAATGTTGAGCACAACGATCATTCCAACACCAAACGATAGTGTATGAGTCAGCGTTTGCTGAATTTCAACTTAAGAATAAAAAATCTCGTGCAAAATCTACTTAAGAATGGCTTTATTTACTGCTAATTATGTTCTGCATGGCTTAAATAGTGAAAACGTAAGTGTTATTGTGAAATAACGCGAAACACTTGTTAAATAGACAAACTCTACCGTGAACTACATGTAGCGCAATAGGATTTAGAAAAAGTATGTATCAGATTGCAAAACAACACCCCAGAATCGCAAAATACCGTGGCAGTAATTTAAAAAATAAACACAGTATGCTAGCTGTGAAATAACAGATTACATAGTTTTGGAATTATAACGCATGTTTTGTTATAATGCATGCATGCTTTTTCAAAAACAAATTTCACCCAGTACAGTTTGGCTCTCATTGAATTTAGCAAATTGTATTACTATTATTTTATGTATTTCCCTAGCAATGACATGGTAATAATATTTTTGATTGGAAGGGGTGGGAGGGTGCTGGCAAAAGAAGACTCGTTGTCTCAAGTTGTAAGGATTTGGCGTGGACATTATATTTAGAGGAAACGGCAAAATGTCCAGTCCCCCATGCTCCCAGGTTGCCAAGCAAGTTTCTTTTAAAAGAATGTTTGTGAGTTGATAAAACAAAGAGGAATACAGTGGACTACCCCTTAATGACTATCCCTAACCGCACAACTTTATAAAATGTGAATAAATTAATACGAAAAAAGAGCGCCTTGAAGTGTCCAAAGAGGTCCAGCCCATCCCCCCTGCTTTTCATATTGGCAGCACTTGTGGTGGCCTGGAAATTGAAGGGAAAATGATGTTGATCCGACCTCGGTGCCCCGTCATTAAATGTCGCACTTACGATGTGTTTTGTGAAATGGATCGCAGGACGCATCGCAGCTGCGACGCTTCGTAGGGATACGAAGCATCGCAGCGCTGCGATGCATCGTAAGTTACGATGAGTTTCGTGAAATCGGGTGCTGTCCCACCAGGATCATTCCCTGATAATATACCTTTATCATGCTGTCACCATTTTAGTCATGTTTCCTGTTTCAAATAAAAATATTGAATGATAATGTTTTTGTGCAAAAAGGAACCAGACTAATTTTTCTTCCAGCCTCGCTTTGGTTATGTTGATTTGAATGGGAAAAATCCAAATCGCCGCAACATGCTAATGGTCTATCGGATAATTGTAGCTTCACTCTCATCAAACTATTAACCCTGCCACATGGACCTCGTTACACAGCTGATAATGCATTTTGAATTTATCCAACAAATGAAGTTGCTATACTTACGTTGGCAGATCTTGTCTTTCACATATCGTTCTACTTCGTTTTTTAAATGGGTTTCCGTGCATCTAATACACTTGGCATGTTTGGCTCGACCTTCACATTCAGTCAAAAGATGGTTGTTCAAGGCTGAAATCTCAACAACCTGAAATCACAAAAACGAAAATCCGTTGATGACAGCTCTAAAATGGAATGGGATCAAAAGAACAATACAGACATGCTATGTGGGTGGCATTATAGCTGTTGAGGTTGGCAACTTATGTGTGCATGTAACGTTAGGCAAATGGACATGTTCATATGTGGGATACATGTATGCGCAAACAATCATTATCAATTCTGAGTTACATAGCTTTTAGATAGAATTTCACCATACTGCCAGTTGTAGTTGAAGCCTAGAGACTAGATAATTGGTTGAGGAAATACCATTGCACGTCTGCAGAAGACAGCCAATTGAAGAAGTGGCTGCACACTGACGTGTTCAGCTGTTGAGCAGATCCTTCAGCATGAGACCATTTGATCGGACAGTGTGTAAAATCACCTTTACAGGCCACATTTTGATATTTATCCTTTTTTGGGCAAATTTCCTTCTGACGTTGCCGTCTACAGAGATGTTTACATTGATGATGTTAGCCTCTTGGTGTTATTTGTCTATGGTGATGATGTCTACTTTGTTGGTTACTGTGGTATGGTCTGCTTGTAACCGTTGGTCCACAGCAGCTTCATGATATCATTTTCTGCAACCGGCAGAGTCTTGTGTTGTATACCATCTGGGTGTAGCATGAATGCCTTTCTGGCGACGTAGGTGCCAGTGGATGATGGATGCTACTTGGTTGTGTCTCTCCATGTAGTGTATGGCTGCAATAATCTTACGGCCACTGGTTTTGTTTGTTTGTTTTTTTCATTACATTTGGCATGTTTCGGGCAACCTACAGGTCAAAGATGTTCTTTTTATGTTGGTGCGCATGACTTGATCTTGGATTGCCACTGCCATTCCCTTGATTTCTGATATTAGTTGACCATACTGGAGCTAGTAGGAAGGTTCAGCTGCTGCATGAACATCAACCATTGTGCTGTGTTGACTGTGCAGAGGTTAGGCTTTCCATCTAAGGTGTTGGTGGTACTTCAGTTTTGATAATGATTAGAGGTCGCAAATGTCAGCCTTCTTGCAGACAACATTGCCTGTTTGGTGATGGAACAAATGGGCTGCATAGTTGTTGTTTTTTCCAGTATGTGGAGTAGATGACCATCGTTGTCTTTGATGGAACTAGCCAATGTTATTATTGCATTCCTTCCAGCCATAAGTTATGGATTTGTTCATGGCCAAGGGCTCCTCCAAAGTTGCTGAAGTTAATTGAAACCTTTTTGAAGATCACTGACAGTGACTGTTTCCTTCTGTTGAGCTTACAAAATGTCTTTGGTTTTTTAAATGTTGTCTCGCTAAACATTCAGCATTTGGGTAATGGGTGGTTGCATCATCTTAAATGTTCATGTAAAGTGAAAAGGGCCCCTGAAATGCACAAGATCAGCTTGAAGAGTTGAAATAACTGAATTACTTGAATTTTCCTCACCAGTATCAAATTGTTTGTTAGGTCGTGCAGAAATAACTACAGCACGAAAAACTAAGTTGAAAACTGACATTTTTTTCAACCTAGATTTGTACTTTCATGAAGGGTTAAAGATATAAAAAGTATTGCATGTAATGTGTAATGTAAAAATTAAGGACATAATATGTGCAATAATAAGTGGCGAGGGAAGGAAAGGCTTGGTAGGGTTCAAGTATTGAGATAAAGGATTTTATTCAATTCTGCAAAGAATCAAACAGGAAAAATAAAGACATTAAGTTAACAGTAGATATAACTGGTTTCGTAAAACAGTTTTCGTTGGTCAAAATAAAACTAACAGAACAGCCCTAAGGTACATTTATGCGTAAAGTTCATAAAAACAGAGTTAATCATTAAATCACTGTAAATTTACACTTGTAAAAATACTGAAGCGCATTTCCAGTAATTATAATCCAGATTTTACAGATGGAAAAACAACTTACAACTTTTCACCCCAACAAATCCACATAAATATCAGTTACAGTCAGTAATCGCTTCAGATCATAACAGAAAGACACAGTTTACAGTCGGATTCAGCTAAGACAGGCACAGTTTACAGCAGTCAGATTCAGCTATCAGCCTAACAGATAGGCACAATTTAAGGTCAGATTTAGTATATATCATCACATCAGAAACAGCTCAGAACTGTTAACGTTAAACCAGGCAAGAACATCAATGCGAAAACAAAACAAAATCAGCGTATTATTTGAATTAAAACTAGATTCGAATTAATTGACACCGTGCGTGTGATTTCATGCACACGCACGTGCGCCCTCAACAAGTTTGCAGCAATGCAAAGGCGCGCAAAGAAAAATGTTGTCATCTTTGTTGCTCAGCGAAACAATACGAATGTTATGCTTTTTTTTTATCTTGTACAATTTATGACACTGCAAGCCAATTCACTACATGACAAAATGGCACTCCATTAATTCTTCTTATTTCTGGGGAATACTAACTTTGTGCAAATTATACTTAAGCCTTATATGTAAGTCCTGTGTTAAGATGATGTATTAATTAACATTTATTCCAGAGTTGTAGTAGTGTATTATTTATTTGGTGGCATGTAAAACTGTATTACATAATATCGGTTTTCTTGTTAAAGAAAATAGTGGCTGGAACGATGTCTTAAACCTTTTTAACTATCAAAGGGGCGAGCAGTTTAACCCAATTGGGGCGAGCAGTTTAGATATGCAAATTAGAATGAACAATCGTTAAAAATTCGGAGAGCGGAAAGTTAGAATTTACGGTATGCATCGGGTGTGCCTGGAATGTTCGTCCCCGTATAAAATGGATCGTCGAACTTTGGGGTGTGCCTTTATTCAAGTCCACTTTGTTTTGGTTCCGTTTCTGGGGAGTAAATTTCGGGGTTGGGTTTACTCTTTGGTTTGGAGATCATAACACTTGGATATGTACAAGAAATTTCAGCTCATAAAAGTGAAGTGAAGGTATAGAATGACCCCCCCCCTCATGTTTATGGTTCTACTTGAGGAAATGGGGAACAGTGTCGTAGTACCCAGGAGGAAAACCTCCTAATGAAGTCAGGATTCACTGCTAGCTACCCGTCTTCATATTTGAAGCCCAATGGACAATGGAAACAGGGAACCAAACTAATGTCGCACAAACGAATGTGTGTACATGTACATGGTTCGTTATGGGGTAAAAAATACAATTGAACAATAGACCCCATGAGGAAGTCTTTAGAAATCAATCTACCCCATAAGGGAACACTACGGCGTTTGAGATTTCAATAGGAAAAAAGGAAAACAAAACAAGGGAAACAAAGGTCTTCCCCAAAAGTATACATTTGTAAAGGCAGTGTGAACGAACAAATAAGCGATATGTTGAGCAATTTTTTAAATTAGCGCTCAAGGAATCAAATGTGGCAATTTCCTACCATATACATTGTCCATTTTTTCACTGTCTTTGTAGTCTTTGTTAGATGTGTCGTACAATTCATGATTTCTACACGATCCAAAGTTGCAGGCACAGTACATTCTCTCAGTCCACAATAGATATAATGAACTAAGTACGGAGTCGGATACTGCCATGGAGAGCTATCAACATCTTATACAAGCCAATCACAAAACTGCAAAAATAATCATACCAACCAGAAAAAAATGAGAAGTAAAAAAACATCTTTCCAAGGACTGGTGCGTTGAAGCTGAAAGGAGATGACAGATGCATTTGCAGAGTACCAACAAATTGTGAATGAACTCAACCGCGACAACCTCAGAATGGAAAAAGAAAATCTTGAAGTAGTATACAATGAAACAGCAGAAGAAGAATTTGACATTATGATTAAAGAAGTTGAAACAGCAGACTCCACACACGTTGCCATAGAGTGAGTTGGAAGCTCTTCAATTAAATCAGAGGTCAAAAATCTGCCCCCCAAAATGCCGTAATTTTTTGAATATTGGGCCGCGCGGTTTTATAAGCCGCAGCATGCAAAAATCTGCAAATTAAGATTTGATGTCGGCGTATAAGCCGCACCAGCTGCAGCGGTTTCAATTTTGTAAAGCCTCCAAATTCTAACGTCAAAATAGCTCCGGACCAGTTCCATTTACACTACGAAAGCTATAAAAAGGACCCCAAAAGTTATATCAAAACATTAATGAATGATGCTCTTTAAAAAAAAAATGGAAATTGACAATGAGCAATAAAACAACAGGAATTGCTGCCGGCTGGCTCGGCCAGTGCCCAGCCTGGCAGCCGACGAATGACAAAACTTTCCCGCAGCACTTGAGAGAGTATGTAACACACCATGTGTTGTCTGACTGGAGCGCTACAAATCTTGCTTATGACAATAGTTGCTGATTGGTTTTGTCCTAAGAATAAACAGGTCCTTATCAAATTAGAGCGATTACTAATGAGAAGTAACATCCAAAACTCAACTTTTCCATCTCGACTTTCTTAGAAAACAGTGAACACAATGCAGACATTTTTGTGGCGAATGCATTAATTTCGTAAGGGGTGATTTGCAGTGGTTCATGTCCTGTCAAATCGCTCTCAGCGTGTAAGCATCGGTAATGCAAAGACTGAAGCTAGCCATCAGCATCAATCACTTTGGTGTGGCGGCTATGAGACCAGACTGGGGCAGCGTACTCTGCAGTCGAAGACACCAGTGCAGGAGCTGAAGTGTGGAGTGTTGTGAAGTCAGCACCCAGCCGGTGCAGCGTGAATATCCGACTCCATGAAATGTGGACTCATTGGTAGTACTGCGCACGCGTGAGTACGATACTAAGCTATTTTTAGGATGTTTCGGGAGAGTGACCTGTCACGTACGAGGGATCAACCAATAATAGGGAAATAGGGGTCCGATTTTCATAGGAGTCGGATTTTCATGTGACACCGGAAAGCTTCTTTATTAAGTTGACCCACTTTGATGTCTTCTCAGCTACCTTCTTTAGGTGTGAGCTGAAGGTAAGACTTCGATCAAGTGTGACCCAAAGATAGACTGGCTCAGGGTCAAACTTCAATGTTTTGCCTAGAGAGTGACGATCAGCTCCTTCCTCACTAGTCTGTTGGCAAGATGAAAAACTGAGTGATGCTGGAAAGAGACATCTTGAGAGGCTTTGTTTTTTTGGTTGATCAAAAGATCGTCATTTGTAAGGTAAAGTCTTAGAGCTGAATGGGATTTGAGCTCACATCAACTGATTAGAAGTCATGACTGCTTCTATCCAGTCCACAAATCTGCTGCCTGATGTCATTGATTAATAAGCCCTGGACATCTACGAGCAAGTTTGGATCAGGACCATTAGTTTACTAGTGGTTGACTTGTGATGCAACTTATGCCAGCACACCAATAGTAACATGCAAACGCCTCCAGTCAAATGATGGTATAAATGTCATCACAAAACTTCTTGATTCCAGCTCCCTGCCGTGCATAATAATGTGTGTGTGGCTGTCAGCAACCAGCGATGGAACCATGCCATAGGCTTCGGTTCCAAATAGTCAACTAGAGTAGTCCAAGTGAAGTTAGTCGAGTTATGGCTCACCATATAGTCCTCGCCTCAGAGTTGTAATGACTCGAGTCAATGACTCGACTCGAGTCCGACTCGAGTCACATTTTTTGGCGACTCGACTCGACTCGAGTCCCGACGGGTAAATGACTCGACTCGACTCGAGTCACTGCGAGCAAATGACTCGACTCGACTCGAGTCCCTCATCAGAATGACTCGACTCGACTCGAGGAAGGCTAATAAGACTCGAGTCCCAAAATAAAAGCAAAACTTACTTGCGAAAAATATTTGTAATGACTTACGCTGCGCCGTTCGCGTTGCCAGTTTTTGTTCACGTCACGTTAATGTTCGCGAATAATGTACGTTTATATACAGCGGCAGTCTGTTTCCTTCCTCCATAATGAAACAACAAACATACACCGTGTCGTGGACTCCCACCTTGTGGTTCTATAGCATGTAATGCTAAACCCGGAACCAGACTTAAAACGCATTTCTCAATCCGTGGTTTCATCATTGGTTTCGGGCGATTTTGAAGTACTTGGTGGAACGCTGGCTCAATTCATGTCCCGATTTCACCCAAAAAAATGGATACGGACGGGCCCACGTTTAAATAATCAGAAACAGTTTTGTATAATGCAATTAGGTTTTAACGTTGTCAGCGATCAGCGAACAACAAAATCTAGACCCGAAGCCAAACCAGTTATAAGACCGAAGTTTCACATCTTCTTTTCTGTGACGTGAGCCAGCAATGGAAACTGTTGGTTGGGTACCATACAGCATACTTTATGTCTTTGGATTTCCGTAATAGACTGGTGCCTTGTATTCTTTCTCTCTTGTGTTTGTTGCTTTTTATTGTAATTTAGTGTTCAAATATTTGTGACTCGAATTGACTCGATCTAAATACTTGACTCGACTCGACTCGACTCGACCACACTCTGTGACTCGACTCGACTCGACTCGACCTTGTTGACCTAATGACTCGACTCGACTCGAGTCACTTCTTTAAAATGACTCGACTCGACTCGAGTCACAAAAATCAGTGACTCGTTACAACTCTGCCTCGCCTGAAATTGCTTTATGAATGCGCATGCATGCAGAGACAGGGTGTTCTCTTTTGAGCCTATTGGAACTGTTTGGGAAACAACATTCACTACTGGGCTGCCCATACTGGCCTGAGTGGTGCAGAGCACAGGGTCTCTGATTAGTTTGAACACTTCTCCAAGTTGTTTAACTTGCAGTTTGAAAATCCCCCACGTGACAGTCTCTCGATCAATTGGAGTTGGTACACTGTCACAGCCATTTATGAATGCTCATTTACTTGAATCTCATTATTGGAAACTACTAAAAATACAATTATGGCAAGTGGTTAGAAGTGGTCATTACAAGCATGAAACTATATGTACCTGTTTACAGCTATTACATCTTTTCAGCACAGGGCAGTACTTCCAGTAATGCATGTCTAAGCCTTCATCCTTGAAGCTTTTGTCTTCTTCTCCACAAAATATGCACTGCTTATCAATATCGTCTCCGAAGTCTGACTGTTCAGCAATACTTGGAGCTCGGGGCATCTTTTTAGGTAGTTGGTCTAATGGGTGAAAAGGAAAGTCAGGATGGGTGGGGTATCTTGAATTTAAAAGGCCAAAGTATACACACAAACGGCAAGCGAACTCAGATAATTCAATTCAACATAACTTAAACAAGGTCATGGCAATAAACTTTACTTCATCCGTTTTAGACTAGGAATATTACTATACAATCTATAAATAAGGACAAGCAAATCAAAACATATGCACAATAAAGGCAATTATACTTGCATCTATTTATGATGCAATAGCTCATTTTTACTCTCATGAAGGACAACAAAAAAGTTGACGAGTTTTTAACTTCCCAAATTAAAATGATTACATGTATAATTTTTAAGTTTTAGATTAACTGATGTACATGTACACTTATTACAGAGCAGAACTATGCAGAGGTCCCTTTGCAGTAGTTCATCATGTTCATGCATAGCAAACTCGATTTCTGTTGATTTAATACATTGTCGTAAATACTCAACATTTCATAATAAGCTTAATCATTAAAGCTGAGAGGCTGTTTGGCAGAAGGTTGTACCTTTATTTGCTGTTTTGCTTAACTTTCCTCCACTTTGCCCACCAATGTCTTCAGGCTGCAGACAGAAAATGATTGAGGATTAATTTTTGATCAGGTATTCAAATTAATGGTCAGGACTGGGATGCTTTTTATGATTTGGGAACTAAAACAAAAACAATACATCTGAGATTTGAGACAATGCAGTGCCAAATCAAGGGAAAAATAAACAGATGGATAATGAGCTTTGAAGGTGTGAAAAATGTGTATTTATATAAACAGTACTAAGGTTTTTGATTAGTTCCTAATTAAAAATCCCATCACTTGTTCCCAACAATCCCATCATACATCGCACAAATAATGAATCATAAAAGAAACTATCTATCTTCTGCATTTTTTTGGGTCAAAACTGCATGATATTTGCATCCATGCTGGTGTATACAGATCCATGAAATTCTGTTTTGATCCAGTGTGGCTAGTTGGCTGTTTCGGCAACCAGCTGAAACAGCCTTTGTTTTTGTTAATTCTTTTTGTCATTTTCTTTGTTTTCTTTTTCAGTCATTTTTGCCCAAAGCATTTGTACACGTTTTTTTTGTTCCTGGCACTTTGACCACTCAAGTCAATCCGATTGCCTTTATACTTGGCACACACTTAGACCAGCATCTGCCACTGAGTCACATGACGTCACAATATAGGTGTATATTTTGAAGGCCTATATCTCTGGAACTACAGGTCCGATTTGGGTGAAACTTGGTATATACCTAGACCGGGATGTGTTATAGATGAAAATTTAATAGACATCACGATGCCGTCATCACGTGACATGTGACGTCATATTATAAGTGCATATTTTGAAGGTCAATATCTACAGAACTACATGTTTGATTGGGTTGAAACTTGGTGTCTACCTAAACCGGGATGTATTATAGATGAAAATTCAAGTGACGTTACAATGATGTCATAACGTAACATGTGATGTCACATAAAAAGTGCATATATTGAACAGGTCTGATTGGGTTGAAACTTGGTATGTATCTAAACTGGGATGACCTATAGATAAAAAAATCAAGTGACGTCATCATGTGTTATGTGATGTCACATTAAAAGTACATAATCAATTTAAAGGCCTATATCTACGGAATAACATGACCAATTGGGTTGAAAGTTGGTTTGTACCTAGTCTGGGATGTGTTATACAGTAAACTCTGGCCAAGTCGACATCGTACAACGCGTCAAATCGCTCAAGTCAGCCATTTGCCTAAAGTCCTGATTGTTGGTAATGCATTTCCATTGAGTTTTTATTTCTAAGTCGGCTTTTATAAGTCGTCATTTCACCCAAGTCGTCGTGTTGCTCTTGGTCCCCTTTCCATAAAAAACATTACAAAATTCTTTGTATGAGTCGGCATTCAAATCATCACGCATTGGCATCGACTTGCTGTACTGCGGTTGGCAAGAAATGTCAAGTGACAAGTGGTTTGGCATGGCCCTTGATCGCTGCATATCGGTTTTGCTGCAAAGCCAAGTATTCCTACTGCACATTATGCATCACGTGCATATCAATACCAGTACCCCTTCTCGTCTGTACGCATGCGCTCTGTCCATTTTGGGGATTGTCTTATTGAATGATGCAGTCAATACCTAGTTACAGTCAATGCGTACGTGGTATGTATACCACGCACGCATTTAATTTGTTACTGTGCACGTACACATGTATCATGGTCTCCACTATCAATATCCCAAACGTGATGATACAATTCGAGGATTAATTCGCTGGATTCAGCTCAAGCATTAAGGAGGTAAACTAGGGTAAATCGAAGCCAATCAGTGCAATGAATCATGTGTGCAAAAAGGCCATTCATGTCAGTCAGCAAAATGACGACGTACAGCAGATGTCAGTGTCGCGGGCAAAGTGGGAATCTGCGCAAAGTTGGAATTCCCACTTTGTCCGGCTGGGCAATTTGAGAATTCCAATACTGCCCGGCAAAGTAGGAATACATCCAAAACTTACATTTAAGTGTTCAAAGTTTTTAACGTACTTTAATGATTGGCCAGCAAACATTTACACAGAAGCACAATGTGCCAGACAGCCAAGCCGCCCACTGTTAATATTCCTTCATTGCACTGACCCTAGTCAAAGTTTGAATTTGCGTCAATTAGATGTAATTGCTATAGATAAGTGGTGTTGAAATTATACCCATTGATAATATTCCTACATCGCACTACCACTGAAACTGAGCAAAGTGGTAATTTTGGTCAATTCGGATGTACTTTTTGAAAGGTATGGGGTTTTGAAATAACACATGAGTAAGATTCCCACATTGCACTACTACCGAACCTGGGCTAAGTGGGAATTTCGGGAAATGTTGATTTAATATTTCCATAGAAAACTGGGTGTTAAAATTACCCATGCGTAATATTCCCACATTGCGCTACCACCGAACCCGGGCAAAGTGGGAATTTCGGTCAATTTTGATGTAATTGCTATAGCTAAGGGAGTTGAAATTACTATCCTACCTTGCGCTACTACTGAACCTGGGCAAAATAGGAATTTTGTTAATTTGATGTACTTTTGATAGGTAAGGGGTGTGGAAATTTACCCATGGGTAATATTCCCATATTTCACTATTTCCACATTTCGCTATTACGGGTAATCGTGATGTAATTTACTATAGATAAGGGCTGTTCAAAGTACCCATTGGTAATATTCCCACATGGCCCTACTACAGAACCTGGGCAAAGTGGGAATTTCAGGCAATTGTGATGTAATTCATTATAGATAAGGGCTGTTCAAAGTTGCCCTACTACAGAACTTGGGCTAAGTGGGAACTACTGGCGATTGTGATGTAATTTGCTATAGAAAAGGGCTGTTCAAAGGACGCATGGGTAATGTTGTAGGTTTGTTTAGGCGAAGAGGGAATTTTGTTGTTCTCGATATAAAAAGAAAATTAATAGTAACATAATTTTTTTTGGGGGGGGGGGGGAGGGGGAGAGGGGGGAGAGGGGAGAATAACAACGCCCACAGGCGGAATTACAGGTGAATCAAGCGGTGGAGCAACCATCACTTCCCCCCTCCAGTTTGTATTCTTATTTTAATTGGAGGGTAGCAGTACCAACCTAAGGTTATCTAAGGACTTATTGGGGGAGGAACTTTAATTTTTGGGATTGAAAAATATCTGTTGGCTGACCAACATGCAAAATCATAAACATGCAAGTGAAATCTTACCTTTCTTTTGGACAGAAAGCTGCTTCATGATATTTTTGTTAATATAGTTTTTCCCCAATTATTATTAATTTGGTTTCAGAATACATCATGTGCACCGCGATTTTATGGACCGTTCGCTTTTATTAAGGGGATAAAAACTAAAGAGCAAATATGATCTACGGTCGAATACCTAAAAAAAAAAAAATAGAGTCAGATTGTTGCCTACTACTTTTAACAAATCAATATCTTATGCTCATTAGGCCCAAAAAAAATTGAAATTCTGCTGGTTACCCGATCGACCCTATTTTTAGGCTGCGACCCTAAACATTTATTGGCACTTCCAAAAAAAATAAAAAAATAATGATTGAATAAATAAAAATTAAATATTTTTGTCTTTTCTGTCTTCACAAAATACCTCTCAACAAACCTTTTGTGTCAAAAAATGCTTGTATTTATTTGTTTTCTTTCTTACATTCGCTGTTGTTTTCAAAAGAAACCCCCATTATTTTTACATATTCGCTTTGCGAAATAACTACTTCGCAATTCGATGTCACTGTGACTATAATAATCACATGTGTAAACCTAGCTTGATGCAGCGATGACTGGTTCCCGCTGCGCCGCGCAGGGGCCAATTTAGAAGACATGATGAAAATGCAGTAACCAGTCGGTGGCATGGCTATGCGATCGATAGCGCTAGCATGGCTATGCATTGCAGGCCGGAGCACTGTCAACTGGTCGGATTCGACATCGTAAAAATGCCAAGAAAACACCGATGGAGAAAGAACATGTTTGCAAGTTAATTCTCAGAATTGATCTAGCTTGTCTGTGTATGTATTTTCCGTGTTCAAGAGTTCATTTTGAGATCGCACTACTCGTATTTGGAGTGATACATGCAGGGTGTTTCCCGAAATTTTTGACCGTAAAAACGAGGTCTGTCGGCCGCGCGCCACACTTGCACAGTGCATCACAGACTTCAGAGCTTTGGCCAGCTTCCCGTCTTGACTAGCGTTGTGCATATGGTGCAAACGACTTGAATTTTTGAAAGGCATGTAATCAGAAGCAGAAGTTTTTTTTTTTGTGGCCTTATTGAATGTATTTCATTTCAAGGGTGAGGTGACGGGATAAAAGCAAGGAGCAAGTAAGCAAGATGTCATCACCTTAATCAAAGCAGTTTGGAATTGGTTAATCAGGGAGTCCACTTTTTAATTGAAATGGCATGATTAATTTATTCCTTGGAAAATCACTTCCTAAAAATGTTTATGTTGCTGATGTTGTTGCATACAAGTGACTTCAGATGAGTTAAAAAATTGTGCATCATCAATCAAACATGACTACCGTTTCAAACTACAGTAAACCCCGCCTATGAAAGGTCTTTTGCACACATGATTCATTGCACTTTAAACTGGCTTCAATTTACCCTGGATTATCTCCTTAATGCTTGAGTTGAATCTTTCAATTGTATCATCACCTTTGGGGTATTGATAGTGGATACCACAATACATATGTATGTGCACAGTAATTGAATTAAATACGTGCGTGGTCCGGTATATACCACGCACGCATTGACAGCAGCATCATTCAATAAGACGACCTTCAAAATGGACAGAGCGCATGCGTACAGCCTATGCGATGTATGCAGCAAAGATCCTATGGCATCGCGTAGTGGTATGCAGTAGGACACCCTTTTTCGAACCGATGTATGCAGCGATCACGGGCCGTGCCGCCGTGCCAAACCACTTTTCACTCGACACTTTGCCAACCGCAGTACAGCAAGTTGATGCCAATGTGTGATGTTTTGGGACTTTAGTCAGACTGCCGACTTAAGCAATTTGACGAGTTGTACGATGTCAGTTTAGCCGGAATTTACTGTAGTTTTA